ACCGCGGGCGAGGACGCCCAGGTGAACAGTGGGTGCGCGGCTCCCTCGCCCCGGCCAGGCCCCACTTCTCGCAGCCGGGGCCCCTCTTCCAGGTGCCAGCTGAACTCGCTGTATCTCTCTCTGCCCTTCCCAAAACCACTTTCCCAACTCCCGTGCTTCTGAAACCTGTGCCAGTCGCCCTGGCACAACCCAGGTTCGACCCCCGCTGCCTACCCGCTCACGCCCAGGTCCTGTGACGCTCCCCCTACCCTCCGCTCCTCCATCCTTAATCAAACACGCTGAGAAGGCCAAGGGTGGAGACCCAGCCCCCCCCAACCCGCAGGTGCAGCCTTCGACTCATAGCCCAGGGCCCCTGCGGTGGCAGCTTGCTGTCCTTCCTCTGTGACCTCCCAGATGGAACTCGACTGCCACCCCCTCCCCCAGCCCCTGCCGCAGAGGAGCAGGAAGCTCGGTGCAGGAAGCAGCCAGGACCCCCTCACACACCCAGCACACCCATTCTGAATCCCCAGATTAACAGCCCACACCAGACCCGGGTCTCGGGACAGGCAGGGACACCCCGATCTCCGTGGTGCCACCAGAGAGCAGGTGGCAGGTGGACCCTTGGCGGTGCCTCTCTGGGCTCTCCTTTCCTCCCCCGCTCCTGCCCCGAGGAAGGTGGTCAGCTGCTCTGGGACAGGGCAGTTGTGCAGATGTGCTGGAAAGAGCTTGGGCAGAGCAGAGCGCAGGCTTGGGTGTCCTGCCTCACGTCTGGGAACAGTCACTTCCCACCACCACCTACTCTTACTTCCAGAGGTAAAGAACTGAGACCTTTGGGGAGTGGGCCTGCGTAGGCCTTGACTTGTGTCCCGGAACAGGTGACAGGCCAGGATGGAGGGGCAGACTCCATACACCGCCTGAGAACCAGATGTGGCCAGATGTGCCTCTGGCCTAAGGTGCCAGCCCTTTCCCAGCCCACACTCATTCTTTCCCTTCCCTGGCTCCCCCGTGCTCACTGCTGCCCCTGGTCCCAGTGACAGGCAACCCCCCCCCCATTCTGCGGCACCTTTGTCGTGGCTCCCCAGGCAGGCCGGGGCTTTCCTGGTGAACTTGAGATCTTTGTGGGACCCTGACTGCAGACTCACTACTGCTCCCCTGCTGCTGCAGGTCAAGCTAGCATTAAAGGGAGAGAGAAAGCGAGGAGGAACCTTCTGTGGGCTGCTTGTCTTCTCCCCTGAACCTGTTTTCCCAGAGTCGGGCTCCTTGAACCCGCCCTTTCCTCTGGTCCTCCTCCTTTGCTTAGTCCTGGGCCACAAGAGGGCCTGGGTGGCACAGAAGGACAGGAGGTGCGGGGCACGGAGTGGAGAGTGTGAGCTTTGTGGGGGTGCTCTTGTGGGGTGCTGGCACCCCTGGGCTCTGTGGGGACGTGACAGGCGGCTTTGAGTTAGACTGCAGTGATTGTGACAAAACCTCACGCACGCAGATCCAACGCTAGAATAATGAATTCTGCATTTTATTTTCTATGAGGTCAACAGGAATAGAATTGCTCCCCTTGTGTCACTTTTGGAAGGACAAAAGCTCAGGAAAAGAGAGTTCCCTGTATGAGGTGGGCCAGCAGTCGAGGAACAAAGGGTAGAATGAATGTGTGGGGCTGGGGCCAGGGCCCCTGCCCTCTTCCACTGAAGGTCTGGGGAGGCCGGAAGCTGCTTTCCTGCAGGGAGGGGGATGGATTGACTTCCAGAAAAGGTGACCTGGGCCACTCCTTCCTTGTTCCTGAGATAGACCACTCCCCTCCCCTCTCCTTATCTCCCAAGGTCCCCCCTTTCTACTGAGGAGATGGATAGACAGACAGCCTTTGATACCTAAAGTTAAAGCCAGACAGATCTGGGTTCAAGTATCTGCATTACCTGGTGATTTCAGGTCGGCACTTGACCATCCTGAGCCTGTTTCCTCATCTGTAAATAGGACTTTTTCATGTGGAGTCACAGACAGGATTGGGGTGCTGGCACCTGAAATGAGATTTTGTCCCCTGGGGCAGTGGATTGCTTGTCCTTGGGGACCCAGAACTGCTGAACAGGGGAGGGGCTGTTGGAAGCCTCTGCATTGAGTACCAGTGGACAGAGTCCAAGGCTGTGCCTAGGTTGGTGTGGACTTCCTGCTGAGCTGGGCTCTCTCCCGGTCTTGGTCCCAGCTTAGAGACCAGGCAAAAACGACCAAAACAACCACAACCTGCCCTCAGATGCCTGTGCTGAGGGAATACAGGACCTTCCTCGGCTGCAGCCTGCCCCTAGGACATGGCTGTATGTGTTTCTACTCCCCTATGTGCATGAGTTGCAGAGACAGATTTGTGACAGAGACAGAGATGAATCAGGAGAAAAGTGTGCAGGCTACACGAGCCCCTGTTTCCCTGTATATTTGTGTGTGACCCTGTGTGTGACATTGCCTGGATTGGAGTCACTATATGTGCAACATCTCACCATGTAATTGCATGCCCAATTGTGTGTGTGTGTGTGTGTGTGTGTGTGTGTGTGATCCTGGTGAGTGCTGCTCTGTGTCCATATCTGAGGGAGAGACAGTATGCTAGTAACAGTGTGTGTCACAGTGTGAGTCAAGTGGATTGGTCAAGGATTTGGGTGTGTATGCATGTTTGTTAGGGGCAACATGTGAGTGTGTGCCTGGCAGTGCATGACTGTGGGTTGGGGGAGAGTCCAGGTCAGGGACTCCAGGTCAAAGTCTCCAAAGGTAAGTGAAGAGCGGCCCTCGTGCCTGTGAGAAGGTGTGTGTAGTCTGCCTTCTCCTGCCTGTCGGTTCAGATATCTAAAGCCCATAACAAGAAAAAGTAGGGAAAAGAGAGAAGGACCTGGGAGCTACACCTGCAGGGCAGAGATGGGAGGCAGGGTTTGGGCTCTGGGAGGTGGCAGGGAGGAGGTCCTGGGAGGAGACCCCAGGGGCCTGAAGGGCTGGACCCAGTTGGGGACTTTCAGAATGTGTCTTTGGAGCCCTCTTACTCCTTCTAAGAGGCCCTCACTTCCTCCCTCTCCTCGGCGCCCAGAGAGACCAAGGCCTCCTTCCTCTCCACACAAATGGTTTCTAGGAAAGGAAAGAATCTGGTAGCTGTATTTGCACTGAGAAATACAGGGCCCTCTCCGTGTTGGGCCAGAACTTGGAGAGAGAGAGCCTTCCGGTGTTGGGAAGCCCATTTCTCTGCGAGCTTCCTCTCCCTCCGTGTCTTCCTTCCAACTCTGCCCACAGTGCAGGGCTCGGAGAGTCACCTGTTTATACACGGTAACTCTGAGAAGAGTGCTGTGCCTACTTTCTGATGAGGAAACCGGGCCCCAAAAGATGAAATGTGTCCCACATTAACAGACAGAGCTGGCATGTGAACCAAAGACTTGTGAGTCTGTCTACTGCCCTCCTCTTCAGACCCACCCCAAACTCCTGAATCTGAGGGGTGCCCCTCCTCACTGTCACCTCATACCCAGCCATTGTCCCCACTTCCTCACAGAGCCATTCCCTGAAGCCTGGAAGGCTCAGTTCTAAAAACTGCCCACCTGCCCTAAGTCTGGGGTGGTGTCTGGGCAGTGGGGAAGGCACCTGACAGACATCCCTGGCCCTCACGGGCTGGGGACCCCATGCCTCCCCCATTTCACTGTGCCACCGGCTGGAGTTGCTGCTGGAAGACGTCACAGACTGGCAGGATGATTGGTCCTTGGATGTGAAAGTGTATTAGGTTCTTGCTTCTAGAGGTAACGGAGGACTGGCTCCGAAGCCCACTAAGCCAGACCTCCCTGTTCGTTCCACTCCACCTCTCCTCTGAGTATCAGAGACCCCAACAGGCACTGCATAGACTGACCCAGTCACCTGCCGGGCTGTTCTATGCCTTAGGATCTCAGTCCTCACAATGGCCCTGTGGGGGGCAGGGCTGCTGTTGTGGCCACTGTCACCTGTGTAAACGGAGGCTGGAAGTTACAACTTGCACACAGACCTGCACACTTGCCTCATGGACGGGGAAGCCCCAGGCTCCAGCCTGGATCTGAGCTCGAAGCTAGAGCCGCTCACCCATCGCAGGGTCACCCGGACGGACATATGGGCGGGCTCCGGCCTCATCCCAGACCAGAGCCTTGTATCCGTCTGTCCATCTGTTCTCTTTCTATCGCCGTGCTCCATGTTCTAAGCCTTAGTCTACACTGGGCCCTCCTGCTGAAATACCACTCTCCTCGCACTAGCCCAGCCTCCCCACCATCCGAAGGCTGTGTGTGTCCCCGGAGTCCCATCCTCACTGAGACCCGCTCTGGCCACTCCTGGGGCCTCTCCCGCCTCACTTTCCTGCAGAGCCTTGGAGCCCTGACCCTCAGCAACCTCCTTTCATCTCGGCACCTGACCCAGGCTGCTGCCCAGAGCCTGACCCACGTGTGGCTTCTCAGGGCTCTGAGGGGCCAGAGATCCAGGCAGTTCCGCTGCCCATGTACAGACCCAGGTTTGGGGGAGAGCTGAGGAGTGTTCCTTCACAGATCCTGAGTAGGGCTGGGGAAAGAACGGGTGCTTCTGTTGTGAGGAAGCCCTCTCTCTGAGGGGAGACGCGGTCTCGTCCTCGGGGAGCCCCAGTGTTGGGGGACAGGGTCCTCTCCTGAACACTCCCAGCTGAAGGGTTTTAATCCCTCACGCCTCAGAGCTGGTGACTGAGCCATTGCTGTGGGAAGCTCCCTGGGGTAGGGTGGCCCGCTGACCTTTATGCTGCTGTCCCCAGGAGTCCTTCCTCCTCCCCAGCTAGAACACACCTTCTGCCCGGTTCCCAGCGGTGACCTTGCTTCCTGCCAGTTTTCCTACTGGAAACAAATACAGGAAAGGGGCTCTCTCCCCCATCTCTGCCCACTCACCAGCAGCCACTGCTGCACGGAGGGGAAGGAGGAAGAGACCTTTCCAGGGTAAATGGGGAGAAGAGAGAGGCAGGACGGTGTGGGGAGCGAGATGGATCCATGAAGACGGTCTAGGGTAAACTTTGCCAGCCGCTCTGGTGCTTGTGATCACGGTGTGGCCTTGGTGGGTGGCGGAATTGATTTCTTTTTCTCCATCTCTCCCCCCGAAAAAATCCAAATATCTTAGCCTTTGCCCCCGGGAGAGCTGTGTGCTTCAGTAACCCCCACCGGCTCACTCATTTCCAGGCTGCTCCCGAGCCTCAGAGCAAGCGTGGCCCCGACTTCTGGAGCTTTCTTCATGGCTAAAGACAGCTGTCTTATAAACTCCGACTCATTCCATACCCAGGCAGGGTTACCCAGAAACCAGGTATCACGGGGTAAAGTTTCGGGGCTTTACAAGTCAGGGGTGTGGGCTTCTGAAAAGACGCTGATTTAATTTCTATGCACGTGTACATATTTGTGATTTCAAAGAGTAAACTTTTGTTTTAAATTATATATAGACCCTAAATTGTATACAAGGGGCTCTCTGGTCATTGCTGCAACGGCAGCCTCTAAATGAGGACCATGTAGGGTCTTTTAGGAAAAAATGAAAATAAAAAAGCACCACAGCGTCAAGACATCGCCAAAAGCAGTGTGTAGAAATGGGCGGAAGGGACCTCGCTCGGTGGAGAGGAAGAGGGCTGTGTGCTCAGCGGCCGGTTCTGGACCCGCTCTGGAAATTGGGCTTCATATCCTCCACTTGGGGAAAGGAGCACGCCTCCCAGTGCAGATGTGATGTCAGTGTTCTGGAACCTTCCTGCCCTCTTCCCCTGTCCTTGGAGCTCCTCCTGCTCCTGGCTGGTAGAGGCTGGCTGAATTCCGGGTCTGTGTCACGTGAGAGGGGAGCACTGGGGGTTCCGTTGCCCTCTTCCACCCGCCATTGCCTTTGCAGCTGGGATGCTAACGGTCGACAGCCTGGCTCCGCCTGCCACCCCAGCACCCCATCTCAGTCTTCCTTCAGGTCACCGAGCTCTGCTTCCTGAGGTGCTGTGGGCCCGTCATGGCTTGCAGTCTCTCTCCCACTCTGCCCTGGGTCTCCTTCTAGAAAGGTTGAAAGTGCAGGCTGCCCCCAGGCAGGCTGACTGGGCACCAGGTGGAGGGGGCCTAGGCAGTGACCAAGCCCGGGCCCTCAGGAAGTCTCTTCTTCAGCCAGCGCAGATGACACCGTACATGAGTCACGCTCCCTGCGTCCCCTTCACCCACGCACCCCCTGAAAACATTCATTCTGTAGCAATTTTCTGGGTACCTACGAGCCTTCGAGCTGTACACAGTCCCTGGGAGGGTAAAGATGTCAAAGGCAGCACCTGGATTCCCTGTGTGGCAGTGGCTTGTTCCCTCCCCTCTCAGAGGTGACCAGTGCCTGGTAAGGTTTGGGCTCTGAGGTTCTCTGGAGGGGCAGAGGGTAGGAGAAGGGCTGGCTGGACCCACAGGGCCCACGTTTCTGCTGCCCTGCTCCCACCCAGGGTGCGACTGTGTCCCTCTCAGAGACAGTGCAGAAATGGCGAGAATACCGACGCCAGTGTCAACGCAACCTGACGGAGACTCCACCCCCGGTCACAGGTGAGTCCAGGGGGGGCCCAGCTGGCTCTCAGAAGGCTTCGATGGACCCCACCGGAGTGGGTGGTTGGGCATCAGGTTCCAGTCTGGGACACTGTACCTGCCCTGTGCCGCTGTCCGTGGGCCAAGCTGTCCCCTCATCTGAATGCCTTCAACCCCTTTCTCCCGGTCCAAATCCTCAGGCTCTTTAAATCCAGCTCAAACACTTCCTTCCCTGTTGTCCTTGCTGTCCATCTGGCTTGTCAACTGTGGGCTGCTGTCTTGCTGCTCATATCCCCACTGCCCTCAGAGTGAGGCTTTCTGAGCAGGGACCTGGCCTATCCACTCTGTGTCTTCCTTAGCCCATCACAGCCTGTGCATGGACTGATGGCCCAGCAGATCCAAGAAGACATGTTAGCAGGGTGTGGTGGTCCATGCCTGGCAGGCTGAAGTAGGAGGATCACAAGTTCCAGCCCAGCCTGGGAAACATAGCAACTTAGGGAGAATGCTGAAGATTATATTTGGGAGTTTGTGGGGTGTTTTAAAGAGTGCAGGACTGGAGCCAGATGGATCTGGGTTCAAATCCTGACTCAGTAATTACAGGACAGAGGAAGGTTTTTCTCAGCCTCATGAGCTACCGTGTCTCTCTGATCTGTGAAGGGTGGTTTACAGTTAGGCCTAGAAGAATTGTTTACTGAGCTCCTGCTACATTCAGTTAGCCACATAATGGTCTTTATGCCCACAAAGCTGTATGGGGCCGGGGATACTGAGGTCTTACAGAGAAGTGTGTGGTGTATGGTAAGCACTCATTGAGGGGCAGAGGGATACAGCTGCTCAGTGACGGGGTCTGGTGAGAGGGAAGGATAAGCAGCATGGCTGGGCACAGGCAGGGACTCAAAGCCTCTTCCCCTCACCCACAGGCCTGTTCTGCAACCGGACCTTTGATGACTATGCCTGCTGGCCAGACGGGCCACCGGGCTCCTTTGTGAATGTCAGCTGCCCCTGGTACCTGCCCTGGGCCAACAGCGGTGAGTCTGTGGCCTTCCCTGTGTCCTGCAGGCCGAGGCCCAGTGGGGACACAGCTGCGGCCATTCCAGAGTCTTTAGGCCTCCTGGCCAGCGGCCGGCCTGTCCTGGGGGATGGGGTGTTGGCAGGTATAGGGGGAAGTGTGGGCCTGACATGAGACAGGAAGGAGACTCTCTCATCTAGTAGTGAGGAAGAAGCCAGGTGGGAAGAGATGCAGGGGTACACAGGAGTGTCCTTGCTCTGGGGTGCACGTGTGTGTGTCTCTAGGTGACCCTTCCTGGTAGGGGCACCATCCCGGCTCTTTAGGGGCTCATGGGGAGCCGTGGTCAGGATTGGTGGTGTGGCCCTGCACTGGGGAAGGAAACTGGGCGGGGGGGGGACCAAGGCAACAGGGCGCCCCTTGACTTGAGAAGTGACTGATACACCCCCACCCCTGTCGTCCCAGCCTCCTGTGCTGAGGGCCCTGGGTAAGGGATAGTGGAGTCAAGAAGCTTTGCCACAGGGAGCTGGGTCTCCGTAAAGGGAGAAAAGATACTTCTTATCCTAAAATCTGTCCATAATATTCATTGACCCAGGCCTGTCCTCAAAGCAGGGCATTCCCTTACTCTATGACTACCCCATGCTTATGCTTCTTGTCCAGATGAGGAAACAGAGGCCCCTGGAGGTTTAAGTCACTTGTTCTGAGTGAGGTGGAAAATGGCAGAGCCGGGATTTGAACCTGGCCTTGCTCTTTCTGTTGTACCTCGGAGGGCCTGACCCCAAGCAGAACCCGGCCCACAGGCAGCAGTGAGGATGAGATCAGGCTGGGTGAAGCCAGGGGTCTTCCTGGAGGAGGTGACCCCACAGGGCCCAGCATGGGCTTCATCCTTCCTCAGTCCCTCAGGCAGAGGTGAGGGGCACAGGGGTGGCCAAGGCCTGGAGAGAGACAGGCACCGAGCAAATCCCATTGGCCTCCCATTTCCAGATGAAGAAAGCCAGGCGCGGAGATGCTAAGTGGCTTTTCTAAACTCACACGGCTAGTAAGTGGCAGCCCCAAGGGATCTGTGATTCAAAGTCACCGCGTTTCATGGCTGCACTGGATTTCCTTGGTGGTGGTGGCGGTGGGGGGTGCCTGTGTGTGTGACTCTGGCCTGGGGACAGGGGAGTGGCCTCTGCTGGCTGGCCTAGGCTGGGGAAGTCAGTGCCGGGAGCCCTGCGGTCCGGTGGCTCTGCACATGGTACGCCTGACCGGCTGTGTGAGCGAGAGCAACTTCCCAACCTCTCTGGGCCTCACTTTGCTACTGGGGGGCGGGGATGGAGCCAGGTGAGGTGAGGGGGTTGCTGTTCCTTGAGAGACAATAGCTGTTCATGTCTCCCTCCGGCTCTGGGTACCTTGGACCTCCCTGGTTTGCACACCTTCCCTGCTTCTCAGAGATTTGGACCATGGCTTGGCCAGCCTTGCCTGGGCCTCTAGACCCCAGGGAGCCACACACGGGACAGAGCCCATCACTCAGGGCTAAGCGCCCCCAGCTCTGCCTGCCGCTTGCAGCCCCATCCATCACCTTTAATTTTATTTGAGCAGGAAATAGGTCCTGGTGGTGCCCGTTTATGAGCGAACACGGTTTTATTGCTTTCTCCATGAAGATAACGGCCTCTGCACGGCCCCCTGCCAGCTCCTCCCCTTCCCCCTCGCCAGGCTAATTAACTCCCTTTTCTCACACTCAGAATCACCAAGTCGGCTTCTCCTGTCCTGAGTTAGGACTTCAGAGACACACACACCAGGCTCCCACACCATAATTGCCGGCTCTGGCCTGGTGCCCCCTTGACAAGCTGTGCGGCCACCCACACTATGTGAGAGCAGGTTGGGGGCAGTTCTAGAGCTTCCTTGGGCTGCGCCAGGGGCCCTCAAGGGGACCGAGTAGGTCTGTGGAGCACTGAGGACCACAGTGCTGGAAAGCTTTAGCACCCCCGGGCCTGAGAAGCAAGGGGCAAGAACAGGTTCAGGGGTCCCCCTGGCAGCTGGGGAAGCCACCGGAATGACTGTGGCCACAGAGGAGCGAGTCCACTGCCAGAACCTCAGAATCAAGCAGGGAGGCAGCAGGGAGAAATGTATGTCTCATTCGACCTGAATGCCGCTCACGGGCCCAGGCCAGCAAAGGACAGAACTGAGCGGTGCTGTCCCAGGGTCAGCCTTCTGGGAACAGAGCTGGGCAGATGAGTGGCTGCTTTGGGAAAGAATCAAATTCAAAACTATTGCCAGAGTCCTGAGCTAAGTGTTTGTCGGGAGCTAGGGGTTCCCTGAGAGGGGTGGGCAGTGTGCTGGGAGAAGGGGTTGCTTTCGAGGGAGGCCAGAACCATCATCTGCCTGAGACGTGGCACTGGGAAGGCGCCTGTCCAGGTTCAGGGGACATCAGGGTGAGGCCTGGAAGATGTGGCAAGAAGAGGGGAGAAGGAGGGCCGTCTGCAGAGGGAGCGGGGAACAACAGTCAGGTGGCACCTTGGACACGGGGCCAGGCCTCCGGCCTCAGAGCTGCACGGTGTCCCAGGGAGGCCGGAGAAGCCCTGGAATTCTGAACCCTGGAGCTGTGAACTTGGGGGGTCGGGATGGTGTGGCGTGGGAAGGAGCGGATGAGCGGTGGAGGACCGCGTTCCCAGGCAGTGCCGGAGACACGAGATTGGGTGTCCAGGCTGGAGGGGCTATCAGCAGCCTTGTTTACTCACCAACAGCTGATGTTTCAGATCATTGCAGACTCATTAGCTGCCCCACTCCTGATTTCTACCTGTTTGTTAGTTTAGTTTAATTATATGAGAGTCATAAAAAGCTTTTAAAATAGCCCATAACTCACAATTCTTGGAAACTCTTGACAGATGCTTCCCCTGAGTAATGTTGAGCCTGGGAGCTTTAACGGCTGCCCAGGGTTGCCAAGGAGAGACTGAGGCCCGAGCTGAGCTCCGAGGAGCTCTAGCTGGAGCGGCATCATCAGCTGCAGCTCCTTGGGGGTCAGCGAAGCGGCTGTGGAGCCTACCGTGCACCAGGCACTTCCTCTCCTTTATCTCTTGGGAAAGGTCCCCTTCCCACATAAGGAAACTGAGACCTGAGACGTAGAGCGAGCCGCCCGGGCTGCCACCGCTGGTCGAAGGCAGAACCAGGACCTGAACTCGAGTCCCTGGGCTCCTCCTCCTAGGCCAGGATGCTGCACACGAACCCTTCACCCCGGCCTGGGTGGGCGCCTTCTTTGCCAGTCTGTCCTTCCACCGTGAGGAGGACCGGCGCACGGGGTCTGTGAGTCTCGGCGGCCCCATCTGTAGAATGGGGCCCAGCGGCTCTTGCTGCCACCTCTGTTGCCACGGTGCGGCAGCTAATGGATTCGTGAGCAGCTCTCCACAGCCCTGAGTGCCTGCGTCCACGTGGAAGGGCGGCTGTTAGCTTGATTACAGGCGCCGAGGCGGTTTCCGGGAGGGGAAGTGTTTAATTGGGGGTTTTATTTCCAGCACCAGGGGCTGATTTAATGAAATATCCCTGGGCCTCCTGGCATGCGGCTGCCCCGTGCCACCTCCTGTTGACAAGTGGAGCCAAGCCCCTGGCTGTGATTGGCCAGCTCCTCCCAGGCCAGATAAAGCTGGGCTGATAAGCAGGGCTGTACCCGGACCCAGCCCACCTCCAGCCAGGGTGGGCGCCTGGGGACCACAGGCTCCGCCAGGAACCAGCCCTGGCTTTTAATATTTGATGCTAATGAAGGGTAACTGACAGATGCACCCTCTAGGGCTGGCTGAGCTTCTCAGGGACACAGCGATCCCTGGCTCTGAACCAGGAGTGCACACATCTGTACCCACCTCCCCAGCTGGCTCTGAGCAGAGGGCCCGGGACGGTATCAGCTGCCATGGGCCACACTGGCAAGAAACCCACTGGGCAGGGCTGCATGGTGGGAAATCCAAGCCCCAAGGAAAGGCAGAGGAGAAATGGCATATGGTCATTGTTGACTTAGCGGCAAGTTTGTCTGCTAACTTGGCCTTTAGAGGCCAGGAGGTGGGGTGAGAATCGTCACTGTGCCAGGTGATCTTGGGCAAGTTGCATGGCTTTGTAGAGACTCTGTTTCTTCCCCTGCAAAATGGGATTAACCGTGCTGAGCGCATAACGCGCTGAGGGTGTGCAAACCATAGATTCTGCGACTGTGCAGCCCGCAGAGCAGGTGCGTGTAGAACATGTAGGGAGAGGAGCAGCAGTTGCAGTGCCTGGCGTATGCCAGGCCATGTGCCAGCTGTGGGGAGCCACACCGCTGTGGGCCGATGGCTCGTATGGCTCGGGTTGTCTCCTTTCCCCCTGGAGCCCCTGGACCCCCTGCTTTCTCCTCCCTTCCTGCCATCCAGCTGGGCTGCTGGGCCAGGCCCTGGTACCAGTTTCATTCCCTGCGGAGTCAGCCCAGGCCCCCGTATCTGTAACCAACGGCTGATTTTGCTGCCCATCTGAAAACTTGAGCCCAGGAGAGAATTTCAAGCATCCACGCAGCACATAAGAGAGTCATCTGGGGTGCTGAGAGCCTCCCTTCAAGTTGCTAAAATCAGGTGTGTGCCTGCCCCTCTTCTCTGCCTACCTAGGGCTCTGATTTTTTGTTAATAACTCCCGGTTCTCAGGCCACTGCTGTTCCTCCACCAGAAGTTCCGCCATTAGCTTTTTATTTCTCTTCCAGGTGAAGTCTTAAAAGGCATGTTTGTCCAGGGGAAGTGATACTAAAGCTAATTTGCCTGCTGTGTACTCCGATAACTCCTTTCTGTTGGAGATGGACCTTGTTTAGGGGTTGTTCACAAAAGGAGGGAGGGAAGAGAGAAAAGGCTGGGAGGCTGCCTGTGCTGGGCGACAAGGAGGACAAGTTGTATGGACAGGCCCTGCTAGAACATGACAGGCTTAATGTACAGGTCTCCCTGCCACCTAACCGGGGCTCCGGATCTGTGTAGTGGAGCCCCTGTCCTAGAAGGGTGCCCCTGGGGACCCTGCTGGGTGGGCTGCCGCGCTCCTCAGCGTACACACGGCATGAACACCTTCTCACAGCTAATTCCTCCACCTGGACACTCACCAGCCGCTGCCACCCAGGGCCTCTGGTGGCTTCTTCACTCTCCTTTCCTTTCACATCCCAGAAAGCTAGTCTTTAGAATCCTTTTCGTCTTTCAGATTTAAAATCCCTTTAAAATGTGTCTTGGGCTCTAGTTTCCCTCCTTAATTCCCCTATGCCAATCCCACCTCACCCTTTTGTCCCCTGTGCCGTGGCCTTGGAACCCAACTTACGTTCTCCTGCAGGGCGGTAAGCAATGAGGCACCTCCTAGGAAGCATTGTCCTGGCCTCACCTGAACTTGGGGCCACAAAGCCACCCATCTTTCTGAGCGGGTGGGCAGAGGGGATGGAGGGGTGCTGCTACAGCAACCGAGTGTCCAGGTGGGATGACCGTGGTCGCAGGGGACGTCCCCGCCAGCTCTGCTCCGCTGTGTTTGCAGCACTCCCTTCTGGGGACTTTTTTGGTTTTTCTGTGAGAGTCTTGAGTCCATATTCAGAGTCCCAGGAGGATTGCTGGGTGGCTCCCCTCTCACAGGCTAGGAGGCCTCCAGGGGCAGTTTCTACCTTCAGCATATGGCCTGGGGTTACTTGGAGGTCAGAAGCTTGGTTTTTCCCCACGAAGGGAGAATTCCAAGGGCGAAGACTGTGTCTGCCCCGTGAGACTATGTGTTCCTTTCAGAGCAGATGGTCTTTGAAAGGAAATCTGTCTCCTTATCAGACGGGCTTCCTGAGGACAAGGCTGTGCCTCCCTCAGACCCATGTTTTCTGCAGACGGGACAGTCTCCCCCCAGACAGGCTTCCTGAGGACACTGAGGATGGCGCTGTGTCTCCCCTCAAACTGGGGCTTCCTGTGATGAGGTTCCCTGTAGGTACTGCCATGTCTCTCTGAGGCTGGGGCTCCCTGAGGATGGGTCTGGGTTTCCCCTCACAGACTTTGGGGCTCCCCAAAGTAGGGACTGCCTCACCCGCTTTCTCTCAGGCCTGCAGGGCCAGCCTTGTTCTTAGGATCTGCTCACCCCGAGGAGTGTGAGAGGGTGAGGGGGCTGGGTCTGGAAAATCAGGAATCGTAGAGTGGCTGCAGGCCTGGCAGGACCACGTCTACCCAGCACCAGCTCTTTGCCGGCAGTGTGATGTGAGGCCGGGACTGGGACGTGGCTCTGAGCTAAAGAGACCTCAGCTCCGAGGCGTAGATTCACCCACCTGCAGGCCTGAGTGGTCAACAGGAAGAGCCGAGTGATCTTCACCTTGGTGACCCCCTGTCCCAGGCCCGGACCATCATGGTTTATGGAATGAGAGGAAGGACTAGGAGTGTGTGAGTGTGTGTGTGAGTGTGTGCGTACACATATATGTATGCATGTAGAGGGGTCGAGCGTGTCAATAACTCAGAAGTGTCAGTCCTGGGGAAGCGGCGGTGACCGTGAAGCTGAGGAGGGATGGAGGCTCCAGCCCTGGGCAGAGGCTCAGCTGCCCATCTCCCCACCCAGTGCTGCAGGGCCACGTGTACCGCTTCTGCACCCCAGAGGGCCTGTGGCTGCACAGGGACAACTCCAGCCTGCCCTGGAGGGACCTGTCGGAGTGTGAGGAGTCCAAGCACGGGGAGAAAGTGAGCCGAGTGGGGATTCCAGCCCGAGCGGGGGCAGTGGGGTCTCTGCGTCCCAGGTCCCGTCTGTGGGGTCTCACCTGGCCCTGCCTCTGGGCTTGGCACACCGTGCTGTCTCGACACAGCAGTGTGTGTTCACTGCTCTGGCCTGGAACCGGACCCCAGAAGTCCCGGGGCCATGTCCAGAGATGGTTGTCCTCCTTGGTTCTGGAATCCCTGAGGGGGCCAGCCCGGGGGCCCCACCTCTGTCCCTGTGCCCATGGGCTGTGCCCTCTCCACACTCCTCGTGTTCCTGTGTGCACACAGAGCTCCCCGGAGGAGCAGCTCCTGTCCCTTTACATCATCTACACAGTCGGCTACGCGCTGTCCTTCTCCGCCCTGGTCTTCGCCTCCGCCATCCTCCTCAGCTTCAGGTAAGGCGATGGCAGCCCACAGGAGCTGTTTTCCACTCACTCTCTGGGGTCGAGAAGGGGCTCCAAACCAAGGTGACCGGGCAGCAGGTCCTTCTCTCCAAAACGCAGGAGGTTAAAGAGAGGCCAAGGCGATCCGTACTCAGTCTGATCTCCGCTGTGCACACAGACTACACAAAAGGGCACCTTCCCCAGCCTGCTTTACCAAATGCGTGGAAGTCCTGGGACCCTCTTCAGTGAGCAGATGTGACTTAAATGATCAAAAATTCAATAAGATTTTAGAAAAGATTCAGTGATTGGGGATTCTGCTCTCTTTGGAGCTTGGTAGCCTCCGCCAAAACGTTCTTTCTGAGGTCAGATCTAGAGGAGAACCTTCTTCCAGGGGAGGAGCTGGGGAGCAGCTTCCTGTCACTCGTAGGGTACACTGAGAGGTCTGGGTTCTGTGACAGGAAGGATGCTGAGGACAGGGACCTGCGGACACCAAGCAGCAGGAGAGTGGCACCCTTCCTCTTGTCCTCAAGCACTGGCCACACAGTCAGTGCTCAGTAAATGCATTTATTAGATGAATATTCTCCTCTTTCACTATGCATTAGTTCCGAGATTCAGAAGTAGAGTGACTTAGGGATAAAGCAAGGGCTTCCCTGGTGACCCTGTCCAGCCAGGTCTCTCTCCCTACCCACAGCCACCATAGCTAAACCCCTGAATTTGCCTCTTACAATTCTTACTCCTTTCCTTAGCCTTTTACCATATTTGTAAGCATCTGTAAAAATATATAGCAGGGTCTTGTGCATTTTTAACAGCACATTGTACACATCTACAATTTTTTGTGATCCAACACTATTTTGAGATTTGTTCCCATTGATACAGGCAGTTCTGTTTCATTAATTTTAGCTGTCATTCTGAATTCCATTGTGGTAACACTGTTTATTTGTCTGTAGTTGTTTGGATGGATACGCGCGAGGTGTTTCCTTTTTTTCTTTCCGAATGATAAATTCTGCTCCAATGGCCGTTCTTATCTGTGACCCTTGTGTGGTCCCTGGGCCATATGACTGGGGTAGAATTGCCCACGATTGCCACTCGCTTTGCCAGTTTACTGGGTGGTGTTGAGTTGCTCTCCAAAGGGGGTCTTCCAGTTGGCCCTCTCACGAGTGGTAGAAGAGGTCCTTTTGCAGAACATTCTCATCGATATTTAACATTTTCAGAATTAAGTGTTGCTAATCTGGAGTGTGTGAAATATCCCTGATTGCTAGAGACAAGAAGTGTATTTTCATATTTTTTTATCTATGAGTTACTTGCTTACTTCCTTTGCTTACTTTTTAATTGGTTTGTTTGGCTTTTTCTTGTTTATTGTAGGCCTTCGTTATGCTGGATACTAATCCAGTGTGTGCCCTCTCTGAGTCCGTGGCTTTATTTCTTCACTCGCTCTTGTGGTGCTTTTTATGCACTTTAATATAATGAAAAAGGTCATCTTATCAATATGTGCCACCAATGGATAAAAAAATTAATTTTATCAACTAATTAAAAACGTATTTTTTTCAGACTAGATTTCTTTAGGCTCATGTTTCAGAAATCTTTCTTTATCTTGGGGGTCGCAGACACAGTCACCTAAATTTTCTTCTAAAAAGTCACAGGATTCTTCTCTTCGTCTCATGATTCTCTGAGCCACCATACCTTCTCACCATTATTTTTGGGAATGGTGAAGATCAGGGATTTAATTATTTAATTTCTTTATTCCATATGCACATATAATTGATTGCCTCCGTACCATTTGCTAGTAACCTGTCCTCCCTTCTTGGTTACTCTACCATGTACCAAGGGCCCATGTGTTTGTAGGTTGCTTCCTGTCATTTGTACCCCTTCCACTGGCCTTTCTGTGCCTGTCCCAAAACCATGGTTTATTAGAAATTATCTCCTAAAGGTTTATTAAAAATTTTACTTCTTGGGGCTGGGGATTTAGCTCAGTGGTTATGTTCGAGTTCGATCTCTGGTACAAAAAAAAAAAGAAAGAAAGAAAAAGAAAGAAAGAAAGAAAGAAAGAAAATTTACTTCTCTAATAGCAAGAGCCTCTTTTTTGTGGTTTGGAGTGTCTGGGCTCTTCCAGGCCCTTAGCCCTTCTTTAAAAGTTTTTAAAGTCCCTTGACAAAAAAGTTGGAGCTTTTATTGCAGCTGCATTGAATTTACTAGTTAATGTTGGGGGAACTAATAAACTCCTTCAAGGTAGAGAGTCTTTCTATCCATAAATGCGGAGTACCTTTGCATCTTTCTTTTATTTTTCATTATGGATTTTAAGCGAGTTTTATAATCTCCGTAATGATCTTGCCCATTTTCTTGTTGCACTTACTTTCCAAGTCTTGTCCTTTTTTACTCCTTTGGCTTTGTAGTCGCTAGGATGTGTAGTGTCTGTGGAACAGAAGTGACAATAGCACAATTCCTTATTTTGTTCCTGGTTTTAAAGTACAAGGAATCCTAAGCACTTCTGGCTGGGTCTATGGCTTTTATCAGGTTGAAAAGTGCCTCTGTATTTCTAATTTGCTATAGCTTTTTACACAGAACAACACTGGCACCTGAACTCCTGCCTCCTCCCCCACCATCTGCCTCTGCGAGTGGGACAGTGGTATTGTTGTAGCGAAGTCCCCACTGGGGAAACCGACCTCACATATCTTCAGTGTGTCTGGTTATGCGTGACTGTGTGATCGGAGGGGCAGCCACAGGGCTAGAACGAGGAGGGAGTGACCGCCTGGCTGAGGGCTTCCTGGAGAGCCAGGACTTGACTTGGACCAGGATTTCCAGGGTTATGGGGGAGAAGGGCATTCACAGAGGAAGCAACACCTGAGCACAGCCCCTGAGTTGGAGGCGAGCCTGGTGGGTGGGGTGGCAGAGCAGAAGTGTGGCCGTCTTGCCGCTCTCTCCCTCAGGCACCTGCACTGCACCCGGAATTACATCCACCTGAACCTCTTTGCATCCTTCATCCTGCGAGCCCTGTCCGTCTTCATCAAGGATGCCGCCCTCAAGTGGATGTATAGCACAGCTGCACAGCAGCACCAGTGGGATGGGCTCCTCTCCTACCAGGTGTGTGGTGTGGCCAGGAGGCCGGGGGAAGCTGGGCAGTTGGGGAAGCCTTTGTTCTTGGTTCTCAAACCTGTGCCCCAGCTCTGATGCGAACGCAGTACCTTGGGGACCTTCCTTCCGGTCTGCTGAGGGTGACAGTCGACCTAGGGAGGCCCCAGACTAAGGGAGTTCTCAGCCTGACCCAGGAAGCAGTCTTTGGAGGCAGACCTGAGCTTGAACCCCAGCCCTGCCCCTTCCTAGCTGTGTACTGGGCCAGGTCACTTCTCTGCAGCTCATTTTCTCACCTGCCTGGGCATGGCATTCTGCTACTTTCTGCTGCTCAGGGAGCTGATGCAGACAGAGTTGTTCAGCACCGGCCCTGGGCAGAAAACAGAAGCTCTCTGGTCCCACACGCTAACGCTAACTGTGGCAGGACAGGAGCTGGGGCGGGACAGGAATGGGACCCAGAGAGGCCGCAGGCCGGGCCTCTGTCCCCACTCTCTTCCTGCACTGCCCGACAGGACTCTCTGGGCTGCCGCCTGGTGTTCCTGCTCATGCAGTACTGCGTGGCGGCCAATTACTACTGGCTGCTGGTGGAGGGCGTGTACCTCTACACCCTGCTGGCCTTCTCCGTCTTCTCCGAGCAGCGCGTCTTCAGGCTCTACCTGAGCATAGGCTGGGGTAAGGCCCCCCTGGCCCGAGATGGGGTGGACTTGATTCTCAGAACACACAGCCAGGCGGGCCGGCCGGAACCTCCTCTTCTCGCTGAGTGGAAGCCTCCACCCCCGCCTGTGCCAATTCCACCCCTGCCACTGGGCACACAGCACTGGAGTCGGGGCCCTGTCCCTAAGCCCCCTGCTCCCAGGTCCCAGGTCCCACGGAGCAAGAGCACCACACCCAGCCCAGGGCAGCTGAGGCCCCCGAGGGATGGTGAGTCCTTGGTGGGGAGAGGAAGAAGAGGGCGTCAGGCGGGGCCTGAGGCAGGCAGGGTGATGGCGGGGGGGCACAGAGACCTGGGCCGCGGGGTGACCAGAGGGTGGACTGCGGATGTGCCTGGAGCCCAGCTGGAAATGTTCCAGCCAAAAAAGTGTGCCAAGAACCATCGTGTCTTTTTTTTTGCTGGAACATTTCTGGTTGTGCTTCTGCCTCTCGCCACGTGGGACTCTGAGGAGGGGCGGAGCTGGGAGCCCCGCACGGCCAGGAAAACGGACTGGGCAGCCCCAGCCGGAGGGACTGCGGGCACCCACCCGGGACACAGCCCCATTCCACCCTAACCTGCCCGGGAGGCTGCAGGTGCCCCTCCCTACACCACACCTTCCTCCTCGCTTGCTGCTGTCATCCATGTGTGGCCAGTGTCTCTAGTGCAAGACCCAAGAGGGACAGGGCTTCAAGGGCAGAGCGGGTACTGGAGCCCAAGCCTCCTGGTCTCCGGGCCGGGGCCCCTGCCTGTCATGTACAGATCTCGGCCTAGTCACATCCCTCGGTCCCCTGCAGGCCCCACCAAGCAGGCTCCGGTCTCCGTGTAGGCGGCCAGAAGGCCCGACTTCTCCATACAGGTCGAAGCTCCACTGTCCCCCCGCAGGACCCTTCCCGCTTCTAGTCCCCCTTCCAGGCATCTTCAGCCGGCCAGACAGGCAGGAAGGGAAGAGCAGCAGCACCCTGGTGGGGTGGGGAGGGGCTGGCCATCAAGGGGTGCTTAGCAAGGCTGGCTTGAGGTGGATGACCGCGTCTGGCCATTCTGGGAAATAGCATCAGTGCTGTTGGGGCCTATCACCATGGCAACCAGAGGGCGGGCCCCATCAAAGGGACGTGTGCTGTGTACAGGGGAGCGGATGGCTAGGTGGAGTTGGTGGGGACACACGGTGCCCTGGAGCTCTCTCAGTGTCCTTTTCCTACCACCTCATGCCCACGCTCATGGCTCAGGGTCTGGGGCACCAGGGTAGGGTCCATGGGTGGCACTTCCTCAACTAGAGCGTCTTTCTCTTGGGGAATTGGGGTGGCGGGGAGGCAGAAAGAGACGGAGGGACAGAAAGTGAGAAAGTGGGACCCTTACAGACAGACCTGAGGGTTCTGCTGTGATGCCGGGAGTCCCGGGCCGAGGAGGGTGCTTGCGAAGAACTTTTAGCAGAACTAAACTTAGGACTCTGATGTAATTTGGGGAGCCCTTAAATGCCATGTCAACTTCTGCAGTCTCTGGGCAGCTGGGTGCTCCCAGAAACTCACAGGATGGAGAAACATTACTTCCCAGCACCAGTTGTGTGTGTTCATTTGAGCTTTTTTCTCCAGCCTGTTTTGGTTTTCCAAATGGGAGAAAGATGCAGCCCGCAGGAAGTGTGTTGTCTGTCTTTACAGAGCTGTGCTTGTACTTCTAAAAAGGGCCCCGTGTGTGGGGACGGGTTGGATGAATGCTGACAACTTGTGTGATGCCCCCTTGCTCGAGGGAGTCCCAGAGAGAAAGGTCAGCATGTGCCTGGCCTGTAATCCCATCTGCTCAGGAGGCTGAGGCAGGAGGATCACAAGTTCAAGGCTATCTGGGCAATTTAGTGAGACTCTGTCTCAGAATTAAAAAAAAAAAAAAAAAAAAAAAAAGAAGAAAGAGACGGAGGGACAGAAAGTGAGAAAGTGGGACCCTTACAGACAGACCTGAGGGTTCTGCTGTGATGCCGGGAGTCCCGGGCCGAGGAGGGTGCTTGCGAAGAACTTTTAGCAGAACTAAACTTAGGACTCTGATGTAATTTGGGGAGCCCTTAAATGCCATGTCAACTTCTGCAGTCTCTGGGCAGCTGGGTGCTCCCAGAAACTCACAGGATGGAGAAACATTACTTCCCAGCACCAGTTGTGTGTGTTCATTTGAGCTTTTTTCTCCAGCCTGTTTTGGTTTTCCAAATGGGAGAAAGATGCAGCCCGCAGGAAGTGTGTTGTCTGTCTTTACAGAGCTGTGCTTGTACTTCTAAAAAGGGCCCCGTGTGTGGGGACGGGTTGGATGAATGCTGACAACTTGTGTGATGCCCCCTTGCTCGAGGGAGTCCCAGAGAGAAAGGTCAGCATGTGCCTGGCCTGTAATCCCATCTGCTCAGGAGGCTGAGGCAGGAGGATCACAAGGTCAAGGCTATCTGGGCAATATAGTGAGACTCTGTCTCAGAATTAAAAAAAAAAAAAAAAAAAAAAAAGAGGCTGGGGATGTAGCTCAGCCCAGGGCCGGAAGTTCAACCCCCAGTAGCAAGAGAAGCAAAGTTTCTGGAGGCATGTGCAGCTTGAGGAACTGGCATGCTCCTGCCTGGAGAAACCCATTCATACATTGAGGCTTCTCCTGTGCTGACACAGTGACTTACTCATTTGTTCATGCATCCTACTGAGCACCTTGTATGTGGCAGGATCCATGCTATGTTTAGAGCATTTAAAGATCACTTGATTCCTTTATATAAAGAATAAATTACCTGCTTTGTGCCAAATAAACGGGCCAGCCGGATGTGGTGGCGCACACCTGTCATCCCAGCACTCTGGGAAGCTGTGGCAGGGGAGTGGCAAGTTCGCGCCCAGCCTGAGCACCTTAGTGACTTAGTGAGACCCCGTCTCCAAGTGAAAAGTTAAAAATGTGCTGAGGATGTAACTCGATGCGAAGGCTCTGGTTCATACCCCAGGACTGCAGGAAAAGTGGGGGCATCTGGTGAGGACCACTCGCCAGCTGTGTGCTGCTCTGCCACGCTTAACCCCATCAAGCACAGGAGCTGTGCCGTAGCTGCGAGGGCAGAGACAAAAATGAGTGGCAGAGATGGGTAATGGTGCTAGGAAAGGCTGCGAAGTGGCTTCGCCCTGGGAATGTGCTCCTGGGGGAGACCCCCAAAGGTATTCGTATATACACGTGGACCCCACTACCGCGTAGACTCACACCGGGGTCCACACGCCTCAATGTGCACACCCTTCCCTACGTGAGATCCATGAATCCAACCGGAGAGAGGCGTCGGCAGAGAGACCAGGGGACGGCTGGTGCTGAAAACGGGGTGTGGTATCGCAGCCCCGGAGTCCAGTTCCGCCTGTGCCCTTCTGAGCTCCTGATCCATCTCCTCACCTGTCTGGGAAGATGGACAGTCCAAAGTGAAAGTAATCAACCCAGACTGAACTCAGCATGAGCCGGGCCTCGGTTGGTCAACCCTCCAGGAACTGGAGAGCAATTGCATTAGGTTTCTGTTGCTACGTAACAACTGACTCCAAAACACAGCTGTCCGAAACAGCAGATGATTATCATCTCACAATTTTATGTTCAGGAATTAGGGTGCAGCATAGCTGGGTACCCTGGCTCAGGAACCGTAATTTAAATCAGTGAAGATATTGGCCAGGTTGGGGATGGAGAAGCATCCCCAAGTTCCCCCACCAGGCCTTGGCAGGGGCCTCCATTCCTTTCTGCAGAAGCCATTCCAGTGACCCCATGGCGTGACGACTGGGTTCCCCGAAGCAAATGCTGAGTGCAGATGGGGAAAACCAGGACAAGCTACTGTCTTTTATAACCCGATCCCGGAAGTGACCATCGCCATTACTTCCACCATAGGTGATTGGAAACACAGGCCCATCCTGGTGCACTGTGGACCACAGAGCCATGAATACCGTCACACGGGGATCAAAGTAGCTGTCTGCCCCAGGGAGTTGGTTGCCTTCATATTACTATAACGAAATACCTGAGACAGTTACCTTAGAAAGGAAAAGGGTTATTTAGCTCAGCTCTGGAGTTCCCGTGCAGGGTCAGTCGGACTCATTGCTTTGGGTGTCTTGGGGTAACAGATTGAAATGGCCAGGTAAGCCAACTGCTCAACTTCTTATGGCCAGGAAGCAAGAGGGAGACTGGACTGGTGAGGGGTCCCAAAATCCTGTTTAGAGACAGGTCCCGAGTGACCTATGGCCCTCCCACAAGGCCCCACCTCCTTAAAGTGCCACCATCTCCCCCTAACACCTTCTGGGGACCAGGACTTGAACACACTGTGGGACGCTTATCTAAGCCACGGCGTGCAGCCAGGGAAAAAAGCTTGTAGATCACTGTGGTTGGTTAATCATTCTGCCGGTGTCAAGGAGAGGGCTCTCATGTCTTACCCAGGCTTCCTCCCCAGCTGGCAGCGGGGCGTGGGCTGGGGGACAATACCTGAAGGGTTTGGTTGCAGAGGGAGTTAGCTGAGATGGACGTGTGGCTGCAGGGGAGGGCCTGGGCATGGGTTCCTCTGCCCCCAACCTGTCCAGCGTACCCTCTGCCATGTGCGGCCTTGACCCTCTGCTCCTGGATGTCTGCACTGGGGAGCAGTTCCAACAGTGTGCCTGTCCTAAGAGGACCACTTTCTAAGGAAGAGTCTGGGCATTGGCGTGGGGTTCATGCCACCTCCCATCTCTAGTGCAGCCAGACCTGCCTAGAAACGGAGTTTGGTGCCAGGCAAGGAGAGAGGCTGGAGGTGTGAGGGCCCTGGGCACACACATGGGGTTTCTGTCCTGCCAGCCCCTCTCCCCTCTGCCTTTCCCTCTCTTCTCCCAGGTGTTCCCCTGCTGTTTGTCATCCCCTGGGGCATTGTCAAGTACCTCTATGAGGATGAGGGGTGAGTATCCTGCTCCAAGGGGGCGTATTGCTGAGGTCACCATCCTTAAAGTCCATGGGATTCTTGGACCCTGGGGCAGGGGGGCTCCACCTTTGGCGGGGATAGACCAAGGGACTAGGAACTTAATGTGTGAATTCAGGACCCCAGGCTGGGATGGTGGCTCATGGTGCTGGGTCTTGGCTTTTCTGTAATTTTGGTGACGGAGATGTCTCTGTTGTTTTATGTATGATGCTAGATATACACATGACTGTGTTCATAGAGCATGGAGGGCCAACTGGGGACTGTATGTAGCTCTCTCTGTGTGACCACGTGTTTGGGAGCTCTTGTGCAAGTGTGTGCATTACCTGTAGGGCTCTGTGTGGTTCTGGTTGTTGGGTAGCTCCATGGCTGTGTGCATGGCATTCTGCATGGCCAGTGTATCTGCAGGCCCCCACGCCTGCCCCAGGAGCTGGGCTCTTCAAGTCCACCCGTCTACATGGCGTCTCTGTCCCTCCCCAGATGCTGGACCCGGAACTCAAACATGAACTACTGGCTCATCATCCGGCTGCCCATTCTATTTGCCATTGGGGTGAGTGATGGTGCGAGGGTGCGGTAGGAGTTGGGGTACACCAGGCTGGGGCTAGGGAAAGGACGGGAGTGGATGAAGGTCCCCAGCCACCCACCCCTGTGCTCTGCAGGTGAACTTCCTCATCTTCATCCGGGTCATCTGCATCGTGGTGTCCAAACTGAAAGCCAATCTCATGTGCAAGACGGATATCAAGTGCAGGTGACCTCACCAGTTGGCCCTGCTGGGGCCCTCAGACCTTCCTTCCTGCCCAGAGAGACCCTGGGGTGCATAATTTGGAGCCCAAATGGGACCCCCCACCCCTGCCCAGGCCTGGCTTAGGACTCACATCTTTCCCTCACCCTGACCTTGGGTAGCCCCTGAGCTTCTGGGAGGTCTTGACCTCTTTCCTGCCCTCCAGGGAGCCTATCCAAGGGTATTTGGAGTGGTAGGGTGTCCGTGACCCAGGGGCCAGGTCCTGGAAGGAGGAAGAGGGGTCCAGCATGTGGTCCAGAATGACCCTGAAAGTTTTGCCTGCCTTCCAGATTGGCCAAGTCTACCCTGACACTCATCCCCTTGCTGGGGACCCACGAGGTCATCTTTGCCTTCGTGATGGACGAACACGCCCGGGGAACCCTGCGCTTCATCAAGCTGTTCACAGAGCTCTCCTTCACCTCCTTCCAGGTGACCATGGCTGGGGGCGTCTGCTTGGGAAGTGCAGATGGGAGAAGTGGGCGGGTTGCAGCCTGAGGCAGTGACCCTGGCCAAAGTCAGGGTGGAGCAGAGCCCGAGCTGGGATCCCCAGCTGTCCCGGGATGTGCCCTGGGGACTCAGCCGGGCCTCACAGATGCGGCCTACTGCATGGTAGGCACTGTGCCCGGTGCTTCAGACACACAGCGCTTTCAGTCGTCACAGAGGCCAGGAAATCCCGGCATCACCCCACTGCACAGAGGAGGAAAGTGAGGTGCAGAGGTGTAAAAACAAGGTTTGCAGAGTCATAAGCTTCCAAAGCAGGGGTGTGAAGACGTAGGAAATCGGCCCCAGCCCCTTGAGAGTGTCGTGGGCTGTGTACAAGCATGTGGGCCTATGTGTGTGCGTCCCGTGCAAGTAGACACATCACACGGAACATGGGTCGGGAGCACTGGAGCCAGAGTGAACAAATGGGCAGGGTGGGGGCAGTGCCGCAGGACCCAGCCTCCCCTGAACAGGTGTCTGTAGGGCTTTTGCAGCATCTGAACAGGGGGCTCCTTGTTCCTCCGGAAAAGAAATGGGAAGGAGCCCCTGCCGGTCCCCAGATCTGCCTGGGCTGGCCGGTGGACGAGGGGCACTTTTCTCTGCTCACCCGCCTCTCGCTTCCAGGGGCTGATGGTGGCCATCCTGTACTGCTTTGTCAACAATGAGGTAAGGCATGAGGCGGGGTGCTGGGGCCACTGCTGGGCTACGTGCTGGGATGGAGCTGTGCCCTGGGGATGCTGCTGCTCACCCCACTGAGGCACTGGAGTGGAGGCGGCCTCTTGCTTGAATATACCCAGGGCCACTCTGTGAAGGTCCTGTGTGCCTGCTCCCTCTCTCTCTCTCTTTCTCTCTCTCTCTCTGTCTCTCTCTGTCTCTCTCCATACATACGACATGCAGACGTGCAGGCATAGCACAATGGTATTAGAGCTTAGGGAAGACCCGGCCTCAGTTTAGAGGGTCCACCTTGTCACCTTCTCAACCCGAGTGCAGTGTCCCACTTTCCTTTCCTCTGTCCCTAATGCCATAGTGACACACTCACCCAGTCCTACTGCATGCACAGGAGCTCAGCGTCCCTACCACCACGGCTCCTGGCTTAGCCACTTCTCCTGATTCTGTCCCTTAAAGCCCAACCACCTCCCTCCTACCTACCATCCACAGCCGACCCACCTTTGTTAGGAGGGAAGGAAGGCCACACTTCTCTGCTCTGTTCTTGGCAAAGAATTTGGCCCCAAATTCCCTGAGTTGCACCTTTCTGGCCTGCCTGGCTACACACCCCACTAGTCTCAGCCCTCAGTATCTCCCAGGCTCTTGCTGCGAGGCTCAGGAGACCCCACTGAGAGGCCTGGAGAGCCTGCCTCCTGTCACTCCACTGTCCCATTCCTTTAAACACACCCCAGAGACCTCCCAAGCACAGGGACAGAGGTGTCCCTTTCCCTGGGCCACCAAAGACACACAAGGCTGGGCTGAAGCCTCTGTCCACAGAGCTGTTCTCCAGGGTTGCCATGGTAATGCCAGCTACTTGTGACCTGAGGAGAAAAGACGGCCTGAGCATCGTGGCCTGTTGCTGTTAAGGTCTGCATTGGCTGCTGGTGGCCGGGAGTAGGGACAGGAAAGGGACGGACATGGCCTAGAAGTGGTTTGGCTGCAGCTTGTGTCTGAGAGCCGGATGGAATTCTGGTCTCCCATGCTGTGTGACCCGGGGAGGTCACTTTGCCTCTCTTGCTTCTTCTCCCCAAGTGTAAATGGGGCCGAATGAGCTTTAATTCACCCAGCCCAGGGCCGGCATGGCACTGGCCAGACAGGGTGCTCGGACAAGTCTGCTGGACTGCACAGTGCAGAGGGCAGGGAGGAGGAAAAACCAGGCGTTGCAGGAGAGGGGACTGGGCCAGGTCTCCAGGAGCTGGCTGTGGTCTTTGTTATTTCATTCGCTTAGCTGAGGAGCAGACTTGATGTTAGATGCCCGTGTATTTATTCATTTAAAACACACATAGTGAGCACCTGCTGGATGCTGGGCCTCGTGTACGTGCAGGGATGTGGAGATGAGGGAGATGTGGTCCTGGCCCTTGAGGTTCTTGCTGTCTGAAGAGCAGGGAGTAGACGCAGCCAAGGACAAGCAGGACCCCAAGGCTGCTCTAGACAGGAGGCAATGGAGTGAAGTGGATCCAGGCTCCAGTCCTGCCTGGGGTGCAGGGAGACACCTAAACCCTCTGCACCTCTCTTCTTCCCCTTTAGGCAGGGAGTGATGCTTGATGAGGACAGTGACTAGGACAGTCTATGAGCGATGCTGGGCACATAGATGGCCCTTAAGGACAATCAGGATTGTGGGGGCCACCTCGGAGGTTCACAAAAAGTGCTGAGGGAGCTGGGGCAGAAAGGAAAATGGTACCCAGCACTTCACACCCTGCTGGGGTCCCCATGGCCACTGCAGTCTCTGAAGTGGCACCTATAGGTGTACCCTCCCTCCAGCGGAAGGCTACAGGACACCACTGGCCTCCCTGCAGCTGCGCAAAGGAAGCCACTGTCGATCTCAGGTGCCCCCGTCCCAGCTGTTGGCACAGGCTGCTGGCACAGAGCAGGGCACCATAGACAGAGCCTGCTCTGCCTCCCTCCTCCCTGCCCCCAGGCCCAGGCTCCACGGCGCAGCCTGGGATACCAGGCCGTCCTGGCAGGCTGGCTCTGGGCGATCTCAGCTGTGCTCAGCACAGAAGAAGTTCTTTTAAGGGATGGCATGCGGCCACACCAGGCGTCTCACTGGGCTTAGCTAGACGGATGACGAAGGAGGAGGAGAGAAGGGTTGTTTGCACAGGGGCTGGTGGGGGGATTAGCAGAGAGCCCCTCGTCCACAGCTGCTGGCAGCCGGCCCTCCTGGTGGCTTGGGCTTAGAGGAACCTGGGCCTCAGATGCTCCTATGTGGGGAAGTTGTGGGCAAGGTCACCAAAGGACAGCAGAGGGGCTCCAGAAGGCAAGTTTATGGGACTCACATCCAGAAGAGCAGCCGAGACTCCTCTCTGGGAACCACAGTCATAGGCCATGCCCGGGGCCACGGCATAGCCACAGGCCTCGAGGGGCTGCCATGATGCCTTTGTATCTTTCTGCCCAGAGTGCAGCTCTCTGGCAAAGGCTTCTTCTGAGGGAGCCAGGAGCGGCCCAGAGGGGACTCTGGGTGCTGAGCTCCATGGGGCTGGCTGCATCTCCATGCACCTCGCTGCCTTGAGCAGGACTGGACCTCGGAGATGCCCAGCGCACACTTGCCCCAGCCCTCTAGCTCCCTCAGTCCTTCCCCCCGGGGAGTTTATATGGTCTGCAGCAGGCACCAGGAAGGATAGGGGTGCGCGGTCCCCTTCAGTTGGCCAAGCTGCAATCAGCGCGTTCTAATGTCAGTTCCCTCCTCTCCCGTCTCCTGTCGCCCTGCGTCTCTCCCTCGCTCTCTTTCTCTTCTGTTAAATAATGCTGTGATGGATTGTAAAAGGTACTTAGCGGAATCACAGACTTTAGAGATGGAAAGGACCAATTAGGTCATCAAACCCATCTCTCTCCTGAGGAGAGGCAGAAAATAGGAGACAACAATAAACAATTTTATTGGGATATTAATTTAGGTGCCCAAAGGCCTTGACTTGTGTCTCTTAATATAATGCAGTGGATGTTTTCCCTTCCACACTAATGTAATAATGGGGCCATTTTGTGGGCAGTTGGTTTGCACGATGGCTTTTGTTTCCCTCCTTCTCCCACGGAAGGTCCAGATGGAGTTTCGGAAGAGCTGGGAGCGCTGGCGGCTGGAGCATTTGCACATCCAGAGAGACAGCAGCATGAAGCCCCTCAAGTGCCCGACCAGCAGCCTGAGCAGTGGGGGTACAGTGGGCAGCAGTGTGTATGCTGCCACCTGCCAGGCCTCCTGCAGCTGAGACCCCAGCACTGCCCTTCCTGTGGTCCTTGCCGCCGGCCGGTGGCTGTCCCAGGGGGGAGAGAGCGCCCAGGGCCAGGGGAAGGAAGGGACACGTGTGTACATTCATCCCCGCTTTCCCTCCCCAAACCTATCAGACAGGCAGATGGGCAGTGCCTCTCGGGACCAGGGACACATTTTCTCGGAGGAGAAGCAGCCTGCTAATTTGATCACTGTGGCAAGGGGAGAGGAAAAACGATTGCTGCTAAAATGAGGAGGAGTTCTTCCTGTTAAGCCACAAGGCCCTTGGGGTTCCCTCAGACAGAGCAGCACATCAGCCCCGGACTCCAACGTGAGGTCAATGGCTTGTTAGTGGGATGGGGGCTCGCGGGAGGAGGAGGAACTGAGAGGCCGATGTAACCTCAGCCGAACACGGAGCTTGCTATGTGAGCCACTCTGCTTGTGTCCAGTTGGGATCCCCAAGCTCAGGGGAGCTCTGTGTGCATCTGGGCTGCTTGTTTCCCTGCTCTGCCCCTTCATCTCACCTGGTTCCCCTCAAGGGCGTTGTTCGAGCCACCAGCCTCGGCCGTTTTCTGGAAATGGCTAAGAGTGGTGTTGAGGAAGTGCCTGAGGGTTTCCTTTGCTGGTACCCACTTCTCCCAGGGTTCTGAGTTGCTCTGGTGCCTGCCTCTGCCCTCCCTGAGGAGCCAGGCCCACTGCCAAGGAGCCCAGCCCAATTCCGCCCTCACGAAGATGCTCAAGGGTTCATCTAGTGACGCTTAAAGAATGTCCCTGTGACCTGCCACTGCTGGGAATCCAGAGGGCCAAGAGATCCACTATGGAAATGCAGTCTGTCTGCAGCCAGTCTTTATCTTGAGTGGAAGTTGGGTGCACCCCCTAAATTTAGGGGATGTGACTAGGAAGAGACTCCAGGGGAAACCCACAGTCCCCATCATTACCATGGTGGCAGGCTCCCTGCCTTTGAAATCCCTGCTCTTGGGAGCTTGTCTGTATTTTATTCACTTTTCTTTATCGCTGTGAATAGTCTGTATGTGCAAATGTGTAACTCTGATTTCTCCTACCTGATGGGAACAAGAACTAAAGCATGGTGGTCGTGATCATATTTAGGGGAAGTGGGGTCATACTGAATTTGACCCACCCACATTTTGAGCTAATAATTCATGTTTGCCTGGCCAGCCTCCAGCCTCATCTCATAAATAAAGAGCAACAGAAAGGCTGGATGGGGAAAAAAAATCTATCAAGCCTGCCCCTGGCCGTGGCGAGAAAGCAGACTCCTAGCGGCACTGCAGAGACCGGACAAAGGAGAACAGCCATCCCGAGGAGGCAGGAGATGAGAGCATGGGAGCCATGGAAGCCTCCAGAGTGGGAGCGAAGGTCTGCAAGGGCAGCGGGAGAGGGTGGAGCCCCCTGTGGGTCAACGTGGTGGGAGACCCTCCCCAAAGCTTACACCGGACACATTCTCCTGTGCCCCCGTGAAAGGTGAATGACGCACGGGAAATAATTGAACATAAAACACGCCAAGCAGAAAATGTCTTATACTCAAGCTTCAGTGAAGTGTTGTGTCTGTGTTAGTGGGAAAGTGGGACCGCAGGCTAGAAAGATGGGAACTGTGCAGACAGACTGCCTCCTGGACTGAGACGATGGGGCAGGGCGCCGGGGGCTTCTCCTCCTTGGTACTTCTCACTTGCTTTCTCTCTAGAAGCACTGGTTGATGGGGCATGTGGCTCTGGTGCAAGGATTTTGGTTTTAGATAATCTGGAAAATCATTAATACGTTACGCAGAGCAAAGAAAAAGACTGATATAATCTGCCTGCGATACATTTGTTGAGGGGAGAGGCTGTGGGAAAGAAAGTCTTAATTGGGCATCTGGAAAGCTCAGACAGTTGGATCTGAGCTGGGAATGAAGTTCTCTTCCCAACTGGAACTGTTGGCCCTGATTTCAGGAAGTTCCTCACACCTCTACACCCCAAGACTTTTAAGCCCAGCAAAGTCTTTTCTTCACAGATAGCAAAACCGAAGAAATCTTTTCCTTGCTCCAAGCCCTCATGCTATTAATATTCATTTGAATGGCTCCACACTGCCTCTGAGCTATTCCCAAACTTGCCTACACTAAATATAGCTCCAACAGGTCTGGGAAGTATCGAATACGATGTACTTTGAAATTCCGCTGGCTGTTTACATGCCTTGTGCTCTAAGTCTAAGCCTGGAACTTGCTCGGAACTCTCTCGCCTGCATCTGTCCCGGGGGTAAGATTGTTGGCCAGTAGGGTGTAGGCACTGGCTTTGTTTAAACTGTGAAACCAGCAAGGTCTGATAACTGTTGAGAATGCTGGCCGGCTTCAGCACTCTGGCCAGCGCCTGTGACCTCGGTAGGGGCTCAAAACCTGCCACCAACCCCTGGCCTCTGCAGTCTTTTAGCCACTAAATCAGAGAGCTGCACACATCACACTGCACAGTTCCCTTCTCTTTTTTTTTCCCCAACAATTTTCTGGATTGAAGGCATGATGTTGAGCACCTCTGGTCACCTCACAATGAATAATGATGATTAATCGATGGAGTTCTGAGAGACTCGGGGCAGAAAAGACCTTGGTGGTCCTTCTTGGCCTGATCTACCAAAGCAAAAGTGAAGCTTACAGAGGTGACTTGCCCAAGGCCACAGTGCTAGCCTCTTGGTTCAGTGAGCCGTGTTGGAAGGACAAGTGAGTTTAAATGGGCATCTGACGTATTCTCAGTGGAAGTCAGTAGCGTTGTCTAGAATTTCTCCTGAAGAGGAAACAGTGCCATCCCCTTGGTCGTTTACACTGGTTAGAGGAGGAAGGGATGAGCCTACACATTCTACTCCAGTATTTCACCCATCCTTGCCTTAAGAAATTAGATGCATCAGAAATCACATATTCATAGGAACAGCACAGATGTATCTGTGGTTTTTGTTTTGGGGAAAATTATACTGACAACCGCAGAGCGTGCACTAAAGAAAATCTGCGAGAAGGTCTTGACCCTCCCCCACCCCTCCCCTCTCGACTGCTGCACTCCCTGCAAACTGGGCAACTGCGGGACCAGCAGAGATGGCGAGAGAGTTCGCATCCCCGCCCTGAAAGGCTCAGTCACCCTCATCAGTGCTGACCGTGTTTCAGCAGCTCACGGGTAGGAGACCCCCTCTCCCTGACCCCTTTCTGGTTCTTTCTTCTACCGGAGGAGCACTGCGCATGTGCGCGTGTTTGTGCTGTGCGTAGCAGCGTAAAGTTGGGATGAGTCCAGAATTGTCGCCCCCACCGTGAAGGTCCTGGGGTTGCACATCCCGGGTGAGAACAGCTGGGCGTTGGAGTGGTATATGCTTTCTCTCCATGCGCAGACAGGGCTCACATTATTGCTAATGCCTGCTACGTGCTCGGGGAAGACAAAATATGCTCCAAAGGTTTATTTTCCCTCTGCTGAATTGATTCCAATCTACAGTGCTGACCCTGCTTTTGGCTCCTACAAGGCAAACTATAAAAATCCTCAAAATATGTAGGCTTACTCTGCTCATACAGCTATGTAAATGACACGCTAAATGTTCAGCAGGAACTAAATTAGCATCAACTCTTTTTGTGTGTCATTTGTTCTGTGTTTCCCTTTTGTGGCCAGAGTGAGTTCCCCGTGGGTTAGAAAGTGGCCCCGTGGAAGGGACTTCTGCAGACACCCACGCCTGCACGGCTTCCAGCTGACCCGGATGGGCTCCCTGGCCCCACGAAGGGCCGCGTCAGGAAGCCTTGTTGAGCAGTATCGTTTCAAAGGCTTTACTTAATGCCACATGTGTCTACAGTATGTATAATTTCTGCTCTCTCAGGGGATACAGATGGGCAGGAAGCAGATAAGATCATTGTTTTCCAGTAACTCCCCAGTTCTCCTTCATCCATCTGAATCTCAGAGGGAAGAGGTCCCTCTTTTCCTCTTCGGCCGTCTCAACAGCTGATTTCCAGGCCCTTACCTAGCAGTGTGGCTGTGCCCCCCCCATGCATCCAGCATTGCTCCAACCCTCCTCCCACGCCTGCTGCCTCAGGAAGAGGTGACCCTGCTGGCCATAACTGAGAATGCCATTCTTTCAGCTGTGACCAATTTAGGGGTGCAGCTGAGAGCGAGGAGCTGCAGGGCTGAAAATGATGTACCACGTTCTACACCGTGGCACGGGGAGGAGCACTGCAGCCAGTGGCCCGCATCTTGACTTACACAGAGGAGACGCAGCCTTTCTGGGGGACCTGTCACACCATCAACCCAGACAAGCTAGCATGACTTATCACTGTGTCAAAGTGATCCGGGAGAAGAAAAACTATAAATGACGACATGGTGAAGAGAGCGCTTCCATTCCCTGGATCAGACAGCAACTTCAGTTCTTGCGTTCTGTGCCCCAAAGTCACTGGGACCAATAAGCAAAAGGTAAAACGCACCCCCGACAGAGAGGGCTAGATCTCGCCCAATGGTTCGTGTTTTGCTTTCAGACCAGTAGGTATTCTAAGGCCCTCCCTGTCAGAAAAACCATTGCATCCTCAAAGCAGATGAAATTCAAGAACTCGTTGGTTTGGAGGGATTCGATGCAGGTCTGCCTTTTAAAATAAATGCACCTAGAGAGAGGTGAGCTAAGCTCGCACGAGGGACGAAGCTAAATTTCTACCTTTAGTGCTCACGGGGGATGTTTCCTCTTCATGAATGTTTAAACAAGATCATTTCATGTGATTTCTTCATGTATAAATTCTGTAAAATATGGCCTGCATCTGAAGGTAGCGAATGTGCGTGGTGTATAATTATTTGTATGGATGTGAATGGATGCAGGCTCTTTCCTAATTTGCCTTGTAAGTCAAATAAAAAGCCTGTCACCACTGTGCCTCTCTTGCTCTTCCTTTGGGAGAGGAGGTTGTCTGCAATGTCAACCCAGGTGACTCAACGCAGAGGAAAAGCAAAAGACGCCAACTCCAGCCCGCGGAGGAGAAAGCCCTTGCTCCTTATTCACGTCGCGATCCTCATCTTCAGAGCACTCACCGAGTACTAATTTACCAGCTGCAGCCTTTATGAGGGGGCTGCGATGTCATTTCATTAGAGAAGTCGGGTGGTCGAGCGGCTTAAACAACGACCGATGGCCAAAGGGGTGTGTATTCTAATTCCACTCATTCACTTGATCTCCCCTGTCTAAATGAACTCTTCAGTCTATTTAAAAAAAAAAAAAAACAAGTCATAAAAGCATGAGCCTTGTATGCAAAGCAACCACAGGATGGGAAGGGAGCTGCTGTTTAGAGCTTCGTCTTCAGGAAAATAAACAAAGTCTATTTAAAAAAAAAAAACAAGTCATAAAAGCATGAGCCTTGTGTGCAAAGCAACCACAGGATGGGAAGGGAGCTGCTGTTTAGAGCTTCGTCTTCAGGAAAATAAACTTTTCTCTAATTTAAATAACTGCTTGCTTGCTCTTGGGGTTGGTGACTCACTCTTACAGAAAAGCAGAGGAATTGCAGATCCCCTCTAATTCCTCCACTGTTTCTGTTTGTTCTGTTTAAACATCAATGTACTTATAAGAAGTTCTCTTTAAGCACCCTTGCCTATGAGGCAACCTGTGGCAACTCTCTCTTACAATCCTAAGGCTTCTAACTCTGGGAGCAAGTTTAGCCAACTCCTGATATCTGCAGACAGAACATCTGTGCTTCAGCTCCTCTGCCCCAGTCTGGTTTTGGACTTCATTCACTTCCTGGCCGATGTTCCCAGCACTCTGGGACCTTCCTCTACCATGAGGAGCACAATAGAGGTTTCTCCTCTCTCTCTTCTTCGCCTCCCAGGAAAACGCTTGCCCAAACCAAGTAAGGACCATGACATTCCCAGGGAGGTGTGCATTAAGCACGAGGGCGATCCCTTCTTCTGAAGTCGTACTTTGTCTTAATAGGGTTCCTGTTAGCACAAAGAAAGGCCATAGAGGGGCCAGGGAATGTAGCTCAGTGGAGCCACGCCTGCCTCACAAGCGCAAGGTCCTGAGTTCAATCTCTGATTTTGGACTTCATTCACTTCCTGGCCGATGTTCCCACCACTCTGTGACCTTCCTCTGCCATGAGGAGCAAAAGAGAGGTTTCTCTCTCTCTTCTTTGCCTCCCAGGAAAATGCTTGCCCAAACCAAGTAAGGACCATGACATTCCTAGGGAGGTGTGCATTAAGCACGAGGGTGATCCCTTCTTCTGAAGTCGTACTTTGTCTTAATAGGGCTCCTGTTAGCACAAAGAAAGGCCATAGAGGGGCCAGGGAATGTAGCTCAGTGGAGCCGCGCCTGCCTCACAAGCGCAAGGTCCTGAGTTCAATCTCTGGTACCAAAAAAAAAAAAAAAAAAGGCGGGGGTGCAAGGAATGAGCTGCCCTGCTTTGCTGAGGCCCAGCCAGGGAGACTCACGAGAACTCCTGGCCCTGACTCGAGTGACACGCAACACAGAGCTGCAGCCACCCCACTGACGGGACGAGTGAGCTCCACAGTGGGTTTGAAAAGGAGCCCGCTCATGCCATGGGCAGCGGCGTTCCCGGGGCTGGGAAACCTTTCTCCCTTCTCCGTCCTTTCAAAACCCTAAACCATGACCACATGCAGTTCGGGCTCTTTCAATCTCTCTCTCTGTCTCTCTCCATCTGACCTTCCATCTTTCCCTTTCTCTCTTCTTCCCTACTCATCCTCCCACCAACACACACAGAGAAATGCTAAAGACGGATGATGAAGAGGCCAGCGTATGAGCAGACGTGTGAGAAGGAAACACAGCAGGCTGTTTAAATGTGAAAAACAGCTGCAGGAGAAGAGAAGGAAACTGTGGAGGAGGAAAGAAGAACAAGAATTATAAGTGACAAGTGACAGGGTGCTAGGTTAGGAGTCCCTTCTCCAGTCAAAGTTATTCACTTCTATAAATCTGAGCTCTTTCCCTGTGGAGTTCTCTGATCCCAAACCCTGATGGATTATTTTCTTTGGTACAAAGGCTCATTTCAACTAACACAGTGATTTTAAAAAGAGAAAAAGACCCATGGCCTAGAGTAAATCCAACAAAACTTTTATTTTCCCGCCATTGATGCCAGGTACCGATGTTAGAATGAATTACTATGGCCCCCCCGGTGTAGGGACAATAGACCTCAGAATTTATCTGTGGCACAACCTCCAAACAGGAACAAAATCAATAGCTGAGAATAAACAAACACTGAGTCCCTCGTTAAGAGATAGATTATCTTGGGGCTCGAGGTAACACCCAGAGAGGACTGGCAGGCAGTTTTGTGTGTGTACACGTGTGTGTGTGTGTGTGTGTGTGTGTGTGTGTGTGTTTTAAGCTTTCTCTAGTGTAAAAGAACAAGAACTTGAGGCAGTAAATGATGTTTATAGGAGAGTTTTCAATTCCAGTGACCTAAGGTGGTGTTAGAAACACAGTCAGGACTTGGGACATGATACACAAATTTAATAGCTACAGCCCAGTTTCCAGCAATCTATAACCATTATGTATGTTTTTGGCTGAAAGAGACAGGTGTTTCACTACCATATTTTTGTCCTCCAGAAAGCTTCAGAACCCTCAAAATCCCTTGGCAATTGAATTGATACCTTTAGTGGACGCTGCTAAATTGTGGACCCTACCAGTTAGGTGCCACTTGATGATGAAACCACCCTCAAGCTATTTCATCTTTCAAACCCTGGAGTTGTGTTGGAAGTAGAGATTTGAGAACCAAAAGGCAGAGACACACACCAAAGCTAAGACGCCTCATTCTGGTCAAGCTAAACCAACATCCTTCCAATTACATTGTTCGGAAAGTTCCAGTTAGCCATACAGACGGAAAGGTGTTAATGCACTGATATGCATAACAACCACTCTACTTTAAAATTACTGTGTTGGAATCTTCTTAGCTATTCAGAGAAACTTCTGTAGCATCCGTGTTGCATAAGATCTTTAGAAAAACACCATCTTCTAGAAACTGACCAAAATCACAAAGCCTGCTGACAAGTGCATGGTGGTGCCACAATCCAGGAAGGGTGTCCCATAAATAGTTCTTTGAAAACTCTGTAATCTGCAGCACCTAGAATAATCCATGTCAAAAATCAGAAAAACCAAAGATACTATTTTTTCATTGATAAGGATCTGACACAAAGAAATCCTTTCATATCACCCTAGGCCATTTCATAATGCCAAACTCAGTCATTAGAAAGAATATGATTAAAACAAGCTGCATAACAAAACCATTTATCCTTAAAGATTGTCCACTATAAATGACTACTATGTGTATTTTAAAAAGTAGTTTGCCTTTAGATACACATGCTTTTCTTTAGGAATTGTTATAATTTGCTATTTCTGAAAATTAACCTCTGAGAGAGTGGATGGGATAGAGGAGGATCATCTAGGGGAAATGAATTCCCAACAAAAGGATGGCTGATCTAGAGCAGAAGCTTATTTAATGTGTTAAAACAGAGATCAGAAAACTGTGGCCCTCTGCTTGATTTTATAAAGTTTTATGGGTACACTAATTTGTTTACATATGTCTATGGCTGATTTTGCTCTTCACAGCAAAGCAGAGTAGTCATAACAGAGACAGAATGATCAATAAAGACTACTTACCATCTGGCCCTTTTCAGAATGTTTGCCAAACCTCTGATTAAGGTGAACATCAAGGAGGCAAATGTAACTGGGAGAGACAGGCAGAGACCAGATGGCTTAGGGCAGGTAAGACAAAATTATCTAAACAATCCACCAGCAAGCCCGGTGTGGTGGCACATGCCTGTAATCCCAGCACTCGGAGGCTAAGGCAGGAGGATTGTTGTGAGTTGGAGGCCAGCCCGGGCTACATAGTGAGTTCCAGGTCAGTCTCAACTACATAGTGAGACCCTGTCTCAAAACAACAACAACAACAAAAACCAAACCGAAACAATCCACCAGCTAACAAAAGACATTCCAAAGAGGCTGACAGGGCAGATATTCTGTATAAATTGGGGTTCAAAGACTTCTTTTCATTGATCTGTGTTCCAGGGAGCCCATCTGATCTCTGTTTTATTTCTGGTTCCCAGGGCGCTCAGCCTTCTTTCTAATGAGAGGGATGCGCTCATCTGAGAGGTCCCCAGGCCTATGTCCACAACAGCCTCAGGCAACATAAGGGTAACTTTCCAGCCCTATTAATAAAGTTATAAAATTAATATTCACCAGTAATCATTTGCTACAAGTCACTTTGATGCAAACATGATATTTTAAGGTATGACGTAAGACACAATGAAACAACTCCTACCAATTATATCTTCGGACACTTTTATCATTTAAGTAAAATGTATGCAAAGATGTTGCAAAAATAAAAAAAAAATGTTGCTACCCAAAATGTGGCCCAGAAGCCAGCGGCATCAGCCTTGGCTGGGAGCATGTCTGAAAAGCCAAATCTCAACCCTGACCCAGGTCTACCGAATAGACTGCATTTTAACAGCATCCCCAGGACAGTTGGCCATTGAAGTTTGAGACTATGGTTCTAATAGGCATTAGCTTCTAATTGCTCTTTTCCAAGCACTGAAAATGTAGTTTCAAATTTCAAAGAGGTTATCCTGATTTACATTATTCATACTAGTGAAAACTGGATACAACTTAAATGTTACATAATAAGAGTACTGACTAAGTAAATTCTGGTACATTCATCTATTTCAGAATCATCATGCAGCTGTCAAAATCAATATTGTAGAAAAATAACATGAGAATATATTTGGCTTATCATTAAGTGAAAAAATCGATTACAGATAGGATTAAGACTAAAAGTAGAGACATGATTAAGGAACAGAATGTAGATGTTATAAAACTTTAAAATATTAGTAATAATATAATAAAAAGGAGGAAAGGAAGAGGGAGAGAAGGTACAAGACAGTGTAGCTATGTTGATTTCATCATCTTTGATGGCCACAGGCTAAAAAACTTACCATTTAAGGCTGATTAATAAAGTAACAAGTTGTAAGTGTACTTAAAGATGTAGTTAATTAACCAATAAATAAAAAGATTTGGGTATTTAGGGATGGTGAGAAGTAGCAAGAAAGTGGAAATAAAAACGTATTACATGAATTTATAGGATATTACCAAATTCTGCCTAAAATACAAAAGATTGAATAGTTAATATAAAGTTCAAAATATAAATTCAGAACAGAAATGTAAACTTTCCAAATTATCAAAAGAAATACACATACAAGGTTGAGGACTTAGCTCAATGGCACCACACCTGCCTTGCAAGCGCAAGGACCTGAGTTCGATCCCCGG